TGGCTCATTGGAGCTCTGTCCGCCATCGAAGGATAAACAAGAGCTCGAGGCGACCGACGGTCGGACAGCTGGTCGGGCGAGTCGGGCGCCTGTGACGCCGACGAAGGGCCGCGAGGAAGCGCGCACGAGAGCTAAGAACGCTGCCCCGACCAGCGATCACCGTAAGGATGACGAGTCGACGTCAGACTTCTCCGAGTTGCCGCCCGAAGACCCTAACATAACTAGAGGAATGAATAAGGCGATACAGAACGCGAGGAAGAGCAGTGCCGACAACGACAAGAAAAAGTACTGGTACTACCGCAAGAAAAACGGTGTCTGGCTCAAGTCGTGGGTTACCGCAGATGAAACGCAGAAGAGGCCGAAGCGGCAGATTAGTCCCACTGTGCCCCACCGTTCAAGGCCGACGTCCGCGCTGAAGGCTCCAGAGAAGGAGGCAGAGTGGCAGGCAACGTCGCGGCCATGGCCATGGCGTGCTGACAGCTCGTGGTGGAACTCGGGGTGGACTGCCGATGCCTCGTGGAAGAAGGCTTCCGATGATGCCTCGTGGAAGAATGCTTCCGATGACGACGACTCGTGGGGCAAGTGGACTGGCGAGACCGACTGGCGGTCGGGATCTGGCTGGTGACAGCGGCGGCAAGAGGCGGCCAGGAGGCGTCAGGAATGAGGGCCGCCAGGGGCGGCGAGGCTGAGGACAGCCATGAGGCGGCCAGGAGGCCGAGGGCCGCCAGGAGGAGGCGGCAGCACTGAGGGGCGCGCTGGCCCCACGGCGCGAAGGGCCCGCTGGCCCCCGCGCGGAGGACGCGGCGCAACTTGCGCGCACCGCGTCGGCGAACAAGCATTCGCTCTTTCTCCTCCTATCTTTCTTCTCGGGGTCCCTGGTTGTTCAAATCCAGGTCCGATTTAAATCTGTAGATCCCGTGGTTTGTTCTCACGCACTACAAATCCCGTGTATGTTAGGCGATATCGCCCCGCGCGCTGCGCGCCCGTATACGAAACAATATTCGTAGACATATGCCCTCAACAATGCGCAAAAGTGCTACAGTACGTACCGTGCGACCGTGGGAAGAAAACGAGCGTCCGTGCGTGTAGGAGGGATGGCGAAAGGAAGGAAACGAGAAGAGAGGGGAGCGCTAGCGCGCGGGTGCGGTCGTTCTTGTGTGTTGTAGCCGCTTCTCAGGGCAAGCGTTCCCCCGCGCGTGCGTATAGCGTACATGTGCATATGCATGTGCGTGTACATATATAATCACATACATATGTACATTTATACACATATGATATGAATGCATCTATGCTATATATACGTAAATACGTATATACATATACTCGTATCTACATATATACATACATACATATATACATCTATATATATACATATACATATATATATATATATATATGTATATATATATAAACAACATAGCAGAAAAACTGGATCCAAGCGAAAAATGGATCCAAGACAGAAAGTGGATCCGGAAAAGCTGGCCCAAAGAAAGTGGATCCGGCAAAACACGTTTTTACACAAACACCGCTCTTGGATCCAGAAAACGGATCCTGAGGACCTCTGGGTCTAGGTCTAGGTCTAGGTCTAGGTCTAGGTCTAGGTCTAGGTCTAGGTCTAGGTCTACGTCGTCGTCTACGTCGTCGTCTACGTTGTCTACGTCGTCGTCGTCGACGTCGACGTCCTCGTCCTCGTCGTCGCCGTCGTCGTCGTCTACATCGTCCTCCTCCCCCTCCTCTTCCTCGTATACATGTACGTCATCGTCAACGCGTTCGTCTACGTCGTCGTCTACGTCGTCTACGTTGTCTACGTCGTCGTCGACGTCGTCGTCGTCCTCGTCCTGGTCGTCGCCGTCGTCGTCGTCGTCGTCTACATCGTCCTCCTCCCCCTCCTCCTCCTCGTATACATGCACGTCATCGTCAACGCGTTCGCCTACGTAGTCGTCTACGTCTATGCGTCGTCGTCGTCGTCGACCGACGAGGCGCGACCCTCCGAGCATAACGCCGCTGGCCTGGAGCCTGGCTGGAGGCCTCAGGACCGCACCATCGCCGCGCTCTGGGAAGGATGAGATCCGCAGAAGCAGGCTGGCCCTCCTGTGCGACTACCTCCATTTCCCCTGCTGCCACTCCTTCTCCTCCCCCTCCTCATTATCCTCCGCCTCCTCAGGCATCCCCCTCCTCCTCCTCCTCCTCCTCCACCTTCCCCCCCTCCTCCTCCTCCTCCTCCTCCTCCTCCTCCTCCTCCTCCTCCTCCTCCTCATCATCATCATCATCATCAGCATCATCAGCATCATCAGCATCATCAGCATCATCATCATCATCATCATCATCATCATCATCATCATCATCATCAGCATCATCATCATCATCCTCACTCATCCTCCTTACTCGACCTCCATCCTCTTGATTCACGCCTCCTGAATAAATATGCCCTCATCCTGGCATCTCTGTTCTCTTCGCCTTCGTCACCCTCCTCCTCCTTATCCCTTGTCCTCTTCATCATCATTCTCCAACTGTGGATGCTGGGCGAAGGCTGGCAAATCCGTGGCTGCTAACACGGCCTTCCCGGAATAAAAACAACAATTTTCCAGAATCAACCTCAACGCACTAAATAAAAAACGCTGATTCCCGGAAACAAATAATCCCGGAACTCCGTTTTAGCAACCACGGGTTTGCCAGCCTTCGCCCTGTCTGACAACTATTCCTCCCACTCGTGCTCACCACCATCCTACATCTCTTGCTCCTCCTCCCGCTCCTCGAGTGTTCTGCGCTCCTCAGGGGCCGACTCCTCTCCTCTGACCTCCTCCGTCCTCCTTCTCCCGCCTCTTTCCCCCTCACCCGGCCTCTGGCCTCCTCCTCCGCCTCCTCAGGCATCGGCTCGATGCATGGTTAGGGGGCCACATGCGAACCCTACCCCCACCCCCCACGATTTCAAAGGGGGGGTGGGGTTCACTTCGTTCGGGAGCTCCCGACCCGAGCGAAGTGAACCCCACACTCCCCCTCAGAAATCGTAGGGGGTTAGGGGTAGGGTTCGCATGTGGCCCTTAATGGTCCAAGCCTGGTGTTGGAGGCCTGGAAATTGGCACCAACACCAACACAGGGGGTTGCCTCCACAGGGGGGGAGATGATCCTAGATTTCGGTGTTGGTGGTAATAGTTCGGCCACCTTGGAAGCCAAAATATTACCACCATCACCGAGACCGGAATCTTCATCCCTCGGTGGAGGCACGCCGCCGATATTGGTGTTGGTGTCAATCTCGAGGCCTGCGAGTGGCTCAAACCAGCCTCCGAATTCAAGCTGGTGCCGCGTTGTCGCGCTTGGGTGGCACCAGGCCTGCAGCTCCGTGATCCACCTGTCGGCTCGCTGGTCGCGGTTTCGAAGCCATACATAGTGGTCCTGAGAGTTCCGACCCAGGTGTTTGAAGGCCGTTGCACTTCGAATCGTGGGTGTTCAAATGTTATTCTTGCATGCTTTCATCAGCCTCCGTCCGCGGCGGCGGTTTGGGGCGGCACCTCGGAGCACACGTGGCATTATATACCCGCCCTCCCGTCGCTAGGGCGTACCTGGTCGTCTTCTTCATCCTATTGGTGGGTAGGGGTAGTGGTTGCCGTTCTGTGTGTTCCTGGGTTGCAATTCAGAGGGACAGGATTCAGCTGGTGACCTGGTGCCCTGATGGCGTTGTCCTCTCTTGGACTTAGCACATGTCCCGGGGAACTACTGTTGCTGGAAATCAGGTGAATGCTGCGTCGAATAATTGGCAAAGGGGCATCATCTGGCTGCCAGTTACCGCTGTACTTGGAATCTGGCGAACGCATACACTGAATTTGACCCACTGCACGTGCTAATTACTGGTATTCGTTGTGGAGCGCTGGTGGTTCTGTACCTGTCCGTCGCTGTTCCAGACCAGACGTGTTCGGTGGAGTTTTGTCCACAGACAGGACGCGGTTTTTCGTGGTGGCGGGGCTGTGCCTTTTCCACGTGATCTACGCCAAGTTCAGGGGAAGCAATTTGTCATCGGAGACTCGCATCACGAAAGGGCCCACTCCCTCCAATGCAAACTTCATCCTCCCACCTGCTCATCCTCCTCACTCCCCCCTCCTCCCCACATCACTCAACCTCGTTCCTCTTCTTTCTCCTCCCCTTCCACATTGCCCCTGATGGGCCTCCACTCTCTGACTTCTGTTCTGCCCAGCCTTACCGATATATGATCCCGGGTCGGGGGTTTACAGGCCCCCCACCCAGATGGGATGGGTCCCAGGGTTCCACATGCCCCAGCCCCAACAAGGGATGGGGGGCGGCAACGACGACGACAACTACGACGACGACGAGGGCGATGACGACGGCGACGACCCGACGCCGATGCTGACGTCGACGCCGACGGACGACGACGACGACGACGACGCCGACGAAGACGACGACGACGACGCCGACGGAACACGACGACGACGAACCACCCCACACCCACAGGGGGAGGGAGAGCACTGGCACCGACCACCACGCCATGCCCCCAGGCCCACGACCACAGGGGGGGGAAACGATCCCATTGGCGAAGCCCTGCGAACTTGGTCTTGGAAAGCTCTCGGCGAGAGCAGCGGAATGTCCACTCTCCCCCACGCCACGTTCAAAGGCCCACGACCACCTCGCAAGTCCTTCGCGAGGCTCACGGGCGATGTGGGGTGCTGATCCCATCAGGGGGCAGCCCGCGATCATATATGCTTCCCCCCCTCTGACCATCCCCACCCGCCCAATGAGGAAAGAGTAGCGGAAGGAGGAGGACGAGGAGAAAGAGGAGGAGCAGGAGGATGAGTAGCTTCCGCAGCAGCAGCATAAACAGCATGACGAGGCGGTGCATTAGAAAGAGGAGCTCACATCAGGAGCAATAAAAAGTAGCCGACAACCACGAGGTGGACGACGAAGTAAACGACGACGACGACGACGACGAAGGAAACGACGACGACAGCGACGACGACGTAGACGCCCTCGAAATGGCAGCGGGGGACTGCCTTCATGGCCTCCGCCAAGTGCTGCGTCTCGGGCCAGCCAGGAATGGGCACGAGAATCGTGGCGCCCTCCCGCACCTTCCCGTGAACCAAAAGGAGTCCAGGGCAACGTTCGCGGGGGGGGCCGGCTGCACGGTTTCGCCCGGGGTCGAAGGCGACCCGAGGAGGAGGAGGAGGAGGAGGAGTAGGAGTAGGAGTAGGAGTAGGAGGAGGAGGAGGAGGAGGAGGAGGAGGAGGAGGAGGAGGAGGTGGAGGAGGAGGAGGAGGAGGAGGGGGAGGAGGAGGAGGCGGAGGCGGAGGAGGCGGAGGACGGGTCGCCCAAGCCCTTCGGAGAAACCCTCCGGGACCGGCTCAGGAGCGGAAACACTGCGCCGACTTATCGGCGGTACAGCGCCGAGATGTCGGCCACGGGCCGCAACTTGCGCGACGCCGCACGGGCCTGGGCGGGTGGAGCCCTCGGGCCCCGAGCGGCAGTCCGTGGGCGTGCTGCGGGATCGCTGCGTCCGCCCCGTGAGCCCGCCCGCCCTTGATGTTGCCCCTGAGGGGGTCCCCCCCTTGACGTTGCCCCCCTTGGCGTTGCCCCTTGACGAGCCCCCCCTTGACGTTGCCCCTGAGGGGGTCCCGTCCCGTGAGCCCCCCCCCTTCGACGTTGCCCCTGAGGGGGTCCCTGAGAGAGATGGGTCCTGGACACGCCCTGGGGCTGTCCCCCAGGGACTGGCTCTGCACTCTCGGCTGGCAGCTCTTCGCGGCCCTGGGGCCCAGCGCAGCTCCGAGCCTCCAGAATCCGTGTCTTCCAGACACCCCTCCCACGCCTCCGACGAATTGCTGCACTCACCCCGCAGGAACCCAGAAGTGAAAGGCCCGGCCAGCTCCCCGGGTCAACCCTCTCGCCATCGCTCGGACGTCCATTTTTTGTGTTTTTTTCGGTTTCGTGCGTGTTTTTTTCGCCGAATGGTCAAGGATGCTCCTCGATTGTCCTCGCCGAGGAAAAAACCCACACGTCCGAGCGATGCCAAGCCCTTCGCCCAGGATCCACTGGGTCCTGGGGCCCCTGCCCGAGACTGGGGAAACAGCTGCAGGCCTCACAGCAAACCACCACATTGCAGCTGGAGGTCTGGGTGCGGCTCATCTGAAGGGGCCCCAGGACACACAAAGAAATACACACACATAAAAAGTGTCCCCAGATTGTCCTAGATTTTCTGGGTTTCTGTCTCCCCCCCCACTTCCCATACTTGCCCATATTTTCTAGGGAATCGAGGATTAATTGTGTCTGTGTGTTTCTTTTCCTCCTGATCATCGCGAGCACCGGCGGCATCTTGCCCGCGGCCACGAGCTTCTGCTGCTGGTGCGCCATCTCGTCGCGCTTGGCCGGCGGCAGCCCGCCAGTGATCCTCCCGTGGGTCTTCCACCTCGGGGGCCCAAACTGCTCCTCCTCCTCCTCCTCCTCCTCCTCCTCCTCCTCCTCCTCCTCCTCTTCATGCTCCTCCTCCTCCTCCTCCTTCTCCTCCCTCCTCCCTCCTCCATTACACATTCGCTGGACACCTCCCGAAAGACCCGCGGAGCGCGCGAAAGTCGGCCCTTCGCCAGAAACTCGCGGACACAACAAGCGCATGATCATCACCCCAACGAAAAAGGCAGGCCTGAGCCGGATCGAACCGCGAAATCGGATCCGACCGCCAGCGAAGCGTCCCAAATCGGGTGCAGTGGTTGCCAGTCCACGGGAAACCTTGCACACGAAACCCCACCCTGAGACCCCATGACGCCCACTGCTTCTTTGGTCTGAGAACGCCACACTTCCCTCAGGAAATCCGCCGGCCCCCTTGTGGGGTCACCAGGCTGTAGGCCGAAGGTTCGCAGTTTCCTGTACCCGTTGCAGCTTCCAGCTTCCACTGTTACAGTTCTGCTTCTTGCTGCTTACAGTTCCTTGTTGATGGACCGCGCGATGGGGGGGAGGCCCAAAACGGGGAGGTTTAGCACGCCCTGAGCGTGTTGTCTGAATTGCTGGGGTGGGTAAACAATTACACCCCTCACGCGGATAGGCGGGGTGAGGGTCCAAAAACACATGGGATTTGCCACACTTCTGAAATTGGGTCCCCTCACGCAGATCGGCGGGGTTCAGGGTCCAAAAACACAAGGGATTTGCAACACTTCTGAGATCCGGTGGCACCCTTACGCAGATCGGCGGGGTCAGGCTCACAAGACAAATCAATTGGTTTTTCCGATTGCGGATCGGCCTCGAATGAACTTCCGATGCTGCTTCACGACGGCGCCCAGGGCCCCATAACACAGCTCTCGCATAATTAGCGCAGTCTCCGAGATAGGGAGCCGGCGACAGGGGGCGAAGCCCTTGCGCATCGATCGAGGCCCAAGAGGCCCAGGGCACCCTGGAGGCCAGCAGGGTGCCTCTTGGCGTGGGCCCCCGCTGCAGAATCGCATCGGCATCGCGCGCCACCCACGTGGTGCCCATGTCGCATCGGCATCGCGCGCCGCATCGGCACTCGCGCGGCCGGGCACCACAAAGGGGGGCGCGCTCGCCGTCCCGGGGCCCGCGAGGGTGCCGACCTCCCTTCTTCCCCCCGGCCGCCTCCCCCGCTGCGCGTGGGCGCCGCAGAGGTCGGACCCCTCCTCGCAGACGGCGGTGCAGCGCAGTCCCCAGCCGCCTCCGCCACGAGACAGGTGGGGCCCCGAGCGGCGCGGGCGCTGGGCCCCGAGGCCCCCCTCGACTGACTACCTACCAGACCACCCCAACCCAACCCGAAGGCACGAATTCGACCCGAATTTCGGGTTGGGGGGGGGGGTACGGGGACCATGTGTTTTTTCGACGTTCCCCGACCCCCCCCCACTGGAAATGGAGGGCAAATTGAGGCCTTCGGGTTGGGTTGGGGTGGTTTGGTGGGTGGTGATCGACGGGGCCGAGGAGGCACCCCCGCACGATGGGCATCCCCGACGAGCGAGGCAGCCTCGCCAAGGCACCCCGGGAAGGGAGATCGAGCAGGGCAGGGCCTCTTGCAGGGAACGCCCAGGGGCGGCGCAGCCCACGGCATCTGTGGGGGTCCTCCTCCTCCTCCTCCTCCTCCTCCTCCTCCTCCTCCTCCTCCTCCTCCTCCTCCTCCTCCTCCTCCTCCTCCTTCCTCCTCTCCTCCTCCTCCTCCTCCTCCTCCTCCTCCTCCTCCTCCTCCTCCTCTCCTCTCCTCCTCCTCCCTCCTCCTCCTCCTCCTCCTCCTCCTCCTCCTCCTCCTCCTCCTCGGGGTTGGTGTCCTTCCTGGATGCCTCGAGCACATGCGCTCTCGGAACTCCGCGCGGATCCTGGATCTGGACGCCCGAGAGGGGTACGGAAAAAAAGATGCACGATCCCCGACAGCAGATGCTGTCCAGAACCAGCAGCGCCCGCTGTTGGACAGGCGGCCTTCTGCCTCAAATGGACAACGTCCGCGGCGGCGCCGACAACGAGTCCTGTTCAAAATGAAGAAGAACTGTTGTTGGTCTTTGTATCTATCATTGTGAGCGTTTTCATTTCCATCCATCCTGTGGTGATGGGTCCTCGTTTTGAAGAGACAGCACCCCGCGTCACCTCACCTCACCTCCCGCTGCCCCCTCCTCCCTCCTCCCACGCCCCATTTTGGCACACCCCTCACACGGGTCGTGGCCTCATAAGGAGCTCCACCGAAGGCCTCAGCGGGAGCGTCCGCATGCACCGCCGCCCCATTTCGGCACACCCCTCACACGGGTCGTGGCCCCCCATAGGGAGCTCCACCGAAGGCCCCAGCGGGAGCGTCCGCACGGCACCGCCGCCTCATTTTGGCACGCCTTACACACGGTTCGTGGCCCCATAGGGAGCTCCACCGAAGGCCCCAGCGGGAGAGTCCGCATGGCACGGCCGACTTTTGGCACACCCCTTACACGGTTCGTGGCCCCATAAGGAGCTCCACCGAAGGTCCCAGTGGGAGCGTCCGCAAGGCACCGCCGCAATATTTTCGCACACCCCTCACACGGGTCGTGGCATCATAAGGAGCTCCACCGAAGGCCTCAGCGGGAGCGTCCGCATGGCACCGCCGCCCCATTTCGGCACACCCCTCACACGGTTCGTGGCCCCATGAGGAGCTCCGCAGAAGGGCCCAGCGGGAGCGTCCGCATGGCAACGCCGCCCCATTTTGGCACACCCCTCACACGGTACGTGGCCTCCATAGGGGGCTCCACCGAAGGCCCTAGCGGGAGCGTCCGCATGGCACCGCCGCCCCATTTCGGCACACCCCTCACACGGGTCGTGGCCCCATAGGGAGCTCCACGGAAGGCCCCAGTGGGAAAGTTCGCATGGCACCGCCACCCCATTTCGGCACACCCCTGACACGTTTCGTGGCCCCATGGGGAGCTCCACGGAAGGCCCCAATGTCGATGTTCGCAGGAGTCCTCCCGACTCATGTCGGCACACCCTTCACACGTTTCGTGGCAGAAGGCCAAACCGCGCGCGCTACTCGGACTTTGCGCGCCCCCCTCCTTCGTCTCATCTCCCTCGCGGCACTCGCGGTTGGATCCTTCGTCAGGCCAAGTATTCGGCGTGTCGACATTGGGCGGAAAAAGAGGAAGGGGGGAGGGGGGGGACCTCTGCTTAGTGCGACTGTTTGCGACCGTGCGTCCGATGGGGGCGGGGCACCACCTCCTCGAAGCAGGCGCCCACAAACAGCCGAGATCTACTCCAGGGGGGGGTGGGGGGGTGGGAGGGGGGGGGGGCGCGAGGGCCCGCGCCGATCGGCAAAACAACGAATCGAAAAAACGACCACCATTTCCGTACCCGTTTCGATCGTCCCGAGATCTGCGCTGGGCCCCCCAAACCCTGGCGCACGGAGCGCGCCCGGGGGCGGCGCCGGAGGCGCCGCTTCAGGGGGGCCCACTGCCGACTCAAGGAGCCGCTCGGGACTCCGAAAGTTTGTGTGTTACAGTCATCGGCCTGACCTAAGGAACGATCAGTAAGGAACGAAGCCCCTTTCTGTCCAAGGAATGACGCATAGGGGGCCATACGAAACAAGGCATGCAAACCCAAGGGACGACCGAGACCTTTCAAAAAGTAAGTGTTCCGTGTTCAAGCCGCACACTGTATCCCGTTGGTTGTGCCTCGACTCCCTGGGACCGTCCAGGATATCATGAGATATGTCGACATGAGATATGTGG